TTATGCTTAATTTATCGTAAAATGGCAGTAGTAATCACTTACCAGCAATCAGGCAATTTGGCAAAACACGCGGTAATTAATTTCATAAATATGCATAATAATCCAAAAATAATAAAATAGTGAAAGTGTAATAGCATTTCACAAGTCAAACAAACCACAAAATAGCATTAAAAATGCTGATGCAGTCAGATTTCCAAATGCACGTGGTCGCACAGGCAAACCACGCGAGACGGACATACTTGCTGAACCGGATCCAGTGGCAAAACCCCATACTTGTTGCCACCAGTGTTACCAAAGGAACGAGATTCAAAAATAACTTCAAATATATGTATTTGCGTATATGCAAGCCGAATATATATTTTTACCAAGTCTTTGAAATCCGTTAATTTTTAAACCATGTAAAACGAGTACCGTGTAAATCGAGGGATAGGTATATACCAAATTCAATTAGCACTGAAGAGCTAAAATTTTGAGAGCTAATTTTTTAAAAACTACTCGTGCAATTTTTACACAACTTGGTAATTTGGTATAACTTTGAGATGTCGAATCGAAATATGGAAAAATTGGCATGTTATTTCAGGAAAATTCAGATTTTCTGTCAAAATACCTTTATTAGAACAATGCTGTATATAAATCTAATACATATCCTAAATCGCGCTTTCGAGAGATGAATAACACAAATTGAATTTTGTCAATTGGCCCAGTAGAAAATGAAGATAGTTCATCCTACCCCCCTGCAGTGTATATTAAACCAAAACAAATTGATTAGAAAAATTTTGATATATGTATAATAATACCACAAAAATTTACTACTCTACTTCTTATAAAGTGCTCACAATAATATGCTAAAATTATTCAGGAACTTTGAGGACTGCATATAACATTTGTCATCCACGAGTTCTTGTTGAGATGGCAAGTTACAAAAAAATTCTTGGCTTCTTTCAAGGGCTTCTGCTTTTCTTAGTAACCAGTGCTGTCTTCTTGATTATTGGGTCCATAGTATATGTTAATAATTTGTAATTTATTCCTTCAGTTTCTTAAACTAACTGCTATGTAATATTACTGTAAAAAAGCTTAAAACTATTAATAAGTATTCTGATAAGTTCTGCAATGCAATCCAGTTTCATCAGTATTATAAATTTTGTTTGCTTTTCTTAGCAGCCTAAGTAAAGCACCCTTTTATCCAGATATCAGTTATATAATGATCTGTTTCTTACTTCTCACCACGCAATTTCTGATAAACAATTTTGGATTTCTCTTTCTCTAGCTTGAGAATGTATGTCAATTGATATAAAATTCTTGCCTAGCATTAAACGAATTAGTGAAAAAAGCTCTGGAGAAAGGAATATTTTGCTGCTTTATAGTTTGAAACCATTCTAGAAAAGCAACTTCAACATCTCTCAGTTTTCTATCTTTTTAGCGATTTCTTGAAATATTTGCACTTTTTTTTTTAAAAAAAAGTTCTTCATCAATTAAACTTTTTCATTTAAGTAAATTGCATAGTATTGTTTGGAAATTCCGAGTTTCAGCACACACCCTTTTAAATGGATTTTTTAAAATGCTACACTTAGCAAAAACATCAAATAAATCAAAGGATAAATCTTTAAAAGATTTTCTTTCAGGCTTAAATCTTTTTGGTTAAACATTTTTGACATATTTAGCACACAACAAAAGAATGCTTTTTCTAGTGATTTATACAATTTCAAAACTCGCATTTCTAGGCAGCAGTGACTACATTTGGTCTGTCAAGTCAATCTGCCACTTCGTGCCTGCAAGCATAACTAATACTTTCCTAGCTTTTTCTTCTTTCCTTGCTTTTTTACAGTTACCGCTTCCTTTCCATTCAAAGACTCTTAATATATGGTAATGGTTAGAAGCATTTCAAGATTTTTTTGACACATCTTTGTGAACATAATGTGTCTATAAAGGGAAGATCTTAGATGTGTAAACCTTAAAAGATGGGACACAGAAGTTGAACTTCCACCTCCTGTAAGCTGGTATTGAAAACGGAAAACTAACTCATTTATGATGTCTCTACTGTTGAATATTGTTTTCACTAATAAGACAATTCTGCCTCTCTGCAGATGAAGAACTCTGAAAACAGAGTCTCATAGGTACAGGGACCATGAGGGATATGAAAATTTCAGTTGAACCAATTTACTGAAGCACTACTTACCTGATTGATGAAGCCATGTTCCATAATACCTTAAGCAAATGAACAGCAAAAAGCTTTGATAGATACAAGTAGGACATTCTGACACTAAAGAATCAGTCTTTTGAAAGTGTGAGTTTAATAAGTGCATATGAGTTTAATGAATAGCATTTTTTCTATTGATTAGTATAGTTATTAGCATATTTGTTAGTTTTGGTTCTTGAAAATTTGAAATAAATGGCTTCGTTAAACCAGCGAGTTTAACACGTTGAGCACGACGCAGAATTTGTTGTCCTTTCTGTTCAGTCTGCAGCGAGCTAAGCAGTATTTTTGTTTAGAAATGTTTCAATACATTTCATTAAAACTAAATTTGATCACATTTCATTGGGACCATATTTATTTTTTAACTTTAATACTGTCGGTCCAGCGGCCGACGCCAGCCAAACGAAAATTCCAGTGCCGGTCCCTAGGGACCGACCCGACGTCGGCCATACGGAAATTTCACTGCCGGTCCCCAGGGGCAGCCACCGCGCTCAACGTGTTAATAAGCAGCAGGCACTATAGTCATCTAACATGATATATTCTTACATTACAATACCCTCTCAAGCAATAAATTTCCTCATGCTGGAAAGGCTCACAAATTCTAAAGATAACAAAGATAACATACAAAGAGGATCAGTTTGTGCATAGTGTTTCAGTTCATAAAGGACTAGCACAGAGAGCATTATTTCTGTACCGAGGAATGATACTCACTACATCACAAAAGATAAACTTTCTTAAGCTAAAAGGTGAAGAAGAAGCGTATCACTTATCATTCAGCATAAAGTCCTTCCTTTGTTTACAGGTAAACACATTTTATCTCATTATTATTATTCTAAACAGTGGCTCAAGTAGTGAGTTCAGCTGCTGATGATATACTATGCTTATTGCCATCGCATGATGTTGATAAGAGTCATTACACTTTGGAAACCTTAGCTCTTTTAGCAATACCAGGTCAAACTCTTAATCAAGATTTGGAAATTCCTGAACTAGAATTTAATTTATTTCTCAAAAATCAATATTCCCAGCCAAAGATTCTCAAGTATTGTAAAATACTAAAAAATAAAGAAAGAAAAGAAAAATAAAAGAAAACATGTTTTAATAAGGGACAAAAGCAAAAATCAAGGAGGGGGGAATATGCAAAATGAATGCAGAAAACAATGGAATGTTTTACACTTGTTTTGATTCTATTATGTTAAATACATTGAAAAATTATATTATTTGTTTTACAATAGTTTTATATAAAGTAGATCTTAACACAACAGTCTATTGATTTAAATACTAAATAAATGCCATGTTTGGATATATAAATTCTAAAAATGGAAAAATTACTCTAAGAAATTCTTTGCTTAGCAGGTGTTAGTTTTATACAAAATGGATCATTTTTAGCACTTCTGAGTTTATTATTAGTTTTTCCAGTATACCAGAGGCATTAAAAACAATGCCTCAATGTCATAATAAAATTCTGCATCTTCACCATAAAATTAATCAATATGTAATTTGAAAACTAGTATATTTCTGAAATTTATTTCCATTCTTTAACAATATTTACTTCATAGTTCTTTGTGATACTTAATAGATCATTTTGTTAAGAATATTTCTGAGTTTTTTAAGCAATTAATAATTGTGATTGATGATATTTCCATCTATGAACCTTAGTCAAAACTTATCACATGAAAAACACAGAGTTTAAATATCAAAATTTTTAAATTTCATTTTTGAATTGTTCAATATTGTTCTGATAATTTGTTTTAAATTATCAAACTACTTCCTGTATCAAAAGTGTGTAGGTTATTATGGTTTGGTGCAGGGCATAATTTTTAAAATTATTAGTGCCACAGCTTTATGGTAGGTTGTCAGAAATGGGGAACACAAATAAATTAGTAAAACAATAAACAAGAAAGAATAAGTAATTAAGAGTAAAGACACACAATAAAAATATAATTACATTAAACTAATATTAAATAGAAAATATTAAAACAATGTATCATAAAATTAAATGAAGTAATAAAACACAACAACAAGACATGGTACCAAGCATAAAAGAAAGGTTAAAATTTTGAACAATACTCTTTTTCTCCAAATAAAATATTTTTACCCCCAACTCATTGAAAAGTCCCTTAATTAGATGAATTTGGGCAATAAATATTTGTCCATAATATTCACCTTTTGATTGCTTCCCACATGCTCAAATCTGTCTATGTATTTTGCTTTTTCCATGGGAAAGTGAGACTATATTTAATAGTTAATTTTACTACCAGTTAAGAATATGGTAAAACCAGAGAAAAATGTTACATTAATGCTAGAATAATAACTGAATTTTCTGATAGGTTTCTGACAGGTATTGTGGTTCGGTTATACAACAAAGTACATAAGCTCATCTTTGGGTGGAATTACACTTTTGCTCAAAATCTGAAAATTGAAGCTGGGCTCCAACTGAATTTAAACTGAAGTTTGGTAAGAAAAGCAAGTCTCAGGTATGGAAAATCATTTATGAAATGAGCAGGAAATCGATCTTTAAACACAAAGAACAAAAATTTTAGAAATCTAGACTTAAAATTTTCACATGTAAATTTAATACGATTCTCAAGCTCAACTGCTAGTTACTTCTATGTATATTTTCCCATGTATATCATTGAATGTACTTAAACATAAGTACACACAAAAAAAGGATGCTTATTATGCCATTATTAAGCAATTAATATGAACAAAACCATAAATTGGCTAAATACAACATCAAAGAATTATACATATGCCCTTTCCAAATAATATAAAATGACATCAATACATCAATATTCATCATAAATACCTTGATACAACAGTGATCCTATAGCTAATGCCTCTGCAGTTGCCCAGTCAATCTGATAACCATTTTTTAATTTTTTAATACGCTCCTGAATAAAATTTTTGGACAAAGTTGGATGAGGAGTCTGCATTTAAAAACAGAAGGGAAAAAATCAGTAAATGTCTGTAAAATTCTATTCAAAGTGTGAAAATAACTGAAAAGCAAGTTATATAGATTATAATGATTTTTAAAAGAATATTAAGGGCATTTTATATATAGGATATAACAAGAAAGAATTTATTAATAAGCTAGCTATTAGCCTAATTTACCTAAATTTAAAACAATTTACAGTCATCAAAATTGATAAAGCAAATAATAATTTTAGCATTATATGAAAAATTTTCTACAAAACAGTTATTAGCAAAGAACTTTATATCACCAATACTTACCAGTTTACAGAAACCTCTATAATTAACAGAATTAAAGCATTTCATAAAAAACTCCAAATCTCTATAAATTCAAGATAACATAGATTTACTAATCTTTATGCTCTTCCTAAATTCCATAAAGCATCACTTAAATTCAGATTGTTTGCAAATGGCACCAATAATCATAAGAAAAATCTAGACTATTATTTTGCACTTAAACAAATTTGTAAATTGATCTTCAGTACTTATAACACAGAACATAATTATTGCTGGATTATAATACATCTCAGTCAATTGACACACAAAATATTAACCGCTATGACTTTCAAAACTTATATACTTTGCTTCCATTAGAAGAAATCTTTACTAGCCTAGTTGATTTTACCTTAAATCTTTCCTGCTATACTGATAATTTTAGACTTTAATCGATGGAAAAACCTTCTTTAACTGCACTATTTTTAATAACTACATTAAATTTC